TATATTACACCACATACAATATTGCAATAATTATGAGACTGAGATTTTGTACACAAAGTTGTATAATTATAGATTTTTTATACCTACACGATGTTCCAGTGGCGGCTCGTGAGGTTCGCATAAAGCGGTGCACAAGTAATTTGCAAGATACCTATATAGGTGGGTAAAAAAATTAGTTTAATTATAGTTATGGGTACATATAACGTGGGTACTTATCGACATATTATGTTCTTGAGTTCCCATAATATCTTCATCGTAGTGATATAAAAATATATCGGAAAAAATAACTTAAAAAGTTCTGATAAACTTATAAACTTGAAATGTTCACTACGTTTTATTGTCGTTCGATGATATCATTTTCAATAGATTTTGCCTTTTATAAGCCATTTATAAATAGTTAAGAATTTTTCATGTTTTCTTAGCATTTGTTTTTGTAAAATATATTTTTTTGCCGATCAAAATGTAATGGTTTCCATGGTTAACATGTCACTATTATAGATTATTTAATATATAATGCTCATTGAAAAAAATATTTGGCAAGTTAATAGTTTGACGCAGAAAAAATACAGTTGACCGAAATCGATTAACAACCTGTGGTACGTAATACTTTACATACTAATATTTGGCGAAACATTTTTGAAATATGACTTCGTTATTTGATAACTTCGAAAGAGAATTAAAAGAATTACTTGATTTAACAAGTGTTCATGATCAACCCGTATTATTTAATGATGATGAAATAACAAGCATCGTGAAATTTCTCAACGGACTGAACGTTGACTACGCAAATAGTAAGAACTTGGTGGTTCTGAAGTAAATAGTATTTGATCAGTAATAATTAATATGAGTATACTTTATCATAGGCGATGAAGATCCCGGTTTTAAACTAGTTGTGGATGCAGGTTTCCGGTTTTTAATCAAAATAATTCAAACGCTACCAATGGATGATCATAAATTATGCTTAACTTCACTTGAGATATTTAAGTCTTACGATACTTCTACCCAAACATTAATGAACGATATTATTGATCAGAAAATTGGCGAGCTTTTGTTATCAATTTTTCGGTTTCTTCAATATCCGTTATTTATGACCTTAATACGCGATGAAAATCGTGAATCTATCGAGAAGTACTTTAGAAAAAAATAAATAATGAGGAAGAATTCGAAGTAATATGTATTTTGATGTTCTGTCACCATTTTTTAAAAAATTACAGGGAGATTTGATATTCTTGAAGTAGTAAAAATTGGTCAAAAGTTCGATTTTACCGTGCAAATCAAAAAATTAAAAAAATAACACATTTTTAGAGCACGGTAAAATGTGACATTTTAATTTTTTTGATTTACACGGTAAAGTTGAGATTTTGACCCATTTTTACTGCCTCATGAATTTCAAATCTCCCTGTAATTTTTTAAAAAATTGTGACAGAACACAGTAACATACAATAAAATCAAGTTTTTGATGCAAGAAAGTTTTGTTTCGACTTTAATTTGTCTTTTTAAATTTAATAAATTTTTAAAACCTTAATACACAGAACCTATCAAAAACCATTATCTAGCTCTAAATACAAAAAACTTACATTCAATTAATTTTTTATTTAATTCATTCTTATCTTTACTGAATTGTTATTAAAATAAAGTACCAGGGTCTCATTAGGTATAATTCTTTATATGTCATCTATCGACGGTTAACGACACATATTATTCTCAGTTTAATTTTTTGTATAATATTTTTCACTTAAATACATATTTTAGTTGATAAATTAAATGTAAACACATAGCCTAGTAGAAACTAAGGCGTTGGTTCTAAAGCTAATAATAATAATTTCAATTTAATTTAAAATAGGTATGTAGGTTTGTAGTAGGTAAATAAAATTCTCTATTTAATAATAATTCTATTTCTTTAATCAACTAGACTAAGTGTCTACTTTTAGTTTTTTAAAAATAATATATTTTATAAAATTATATATATATCCTGTAAGACTATACGGTTAATCCTATCGCCGGAAGGTTCTACGCTGATGAAATATGTAAGACCAAACATCCGAATGATTATTTAGTGGAAAAAATCGTACGCGTTAAAGGACCACGAGCTCTCGTCAAATGGTTGGGATTCGACAACTTGCACAACAGTTGGATAAATGAGAGTTATTTTAAAATATGAACACAGTCTTTATCCGATTATGAACGTGTTCGGGGGCTCCACTGCGGGTGCGTTAAAAGTTTATTGAAGACAAAAACCGGCAATTTGAAAAATAATGAAAAAGATTTGAAAAAAAAATCGCATGGTAAATCGATCGCCAAAAATAAGACAACGCTTATTTATTTAAATGCAAAAATCAACAAGACTACAATCATCGTATCGGATACAACTATAAAAGCTGATGAAACGGAGAAAATTATCGAAAATCTACTCATGCAGATCGGAGGTGTAGAACATTTCGCACGTTCGGTGGAAAATAAATATTATAACTCATTATCGTTAAATAATTCTATCATTGATGAAATGCGCGAAAACGTATCCAGATTGACTACGCTTAGTGAAAATCACACCACCCCTGCCGTTACCACCTCTTCAACTGTTATTGCCACCCCACTACCAATGCCGAATACCGCCACTAACTAATCTAGTATTGTCTGTGAAACATGTAGAGAATACGACGTTACCGTCAACATTAACAATATCAGCTATAACAAAAGCAGCAATAATAAAACGTCTTCTGAGCCTGAACTGCTAGAACTTGAAAACATATAGACTAAAAATTATAAATTAAACAGCACCAAAATACGTGTTAACTGTAAGAGAAGGTACGTGCAAATAAAATAAAAGTCGCAGCAGATGACCCTGATGACAACATAATATTTGATTTTAGTCGATACAAAATCGGATATAATGTAGCCACAAATATCGAACGAGAGGATGTTGGTCGGGTCGGATCGATTCAGATCCAATGTAGCCGTAGCCTAAGGCGAGCTGTACACTGAAGAAACTAGTTTTAAGAAACCAATTTCATGAAACGTGAAACTTAAGTTTTATGAAACCATTTAATTAAAAAACAAAGAGATGCGCACATTGAATTTCATGAAACAAAAATTTCTCATCGACGCGCAATTGCAGTTTCATGAAACTTATGATTTTGGTTTCAATAATATAATTTCATCAGTTATGACAGTTTTTAATTAATACTTTGGAAGCATTTTAAAAAGTTTTGTATATACGAGTATATTATTTAGGTTATATTTATATGTTACGGAATTTAAATATAATAATTAATATATTGTATTATATTATACAGCATTTATTTAACATTCAAAGCAATAGTATTAATATAAATAGTATTTATAGTTGGGAAATTTGAATCGTATTAATTGAATAGTAATACTGCACTAAACGATAAAAAGCAACTTAAGACATTCTATAGAAACTTTGAAATTTATCCTCATCGGCGGTTAATTCCTTTGAAACTACAATGCTGTCTATCTTTTAAAAGTGGATGAATCCAATACCTATATTTCCTTTTTTTGTTACGAAGCCACCAACATAACATAAACACATCCTCATCATCAGGCGACATTTTTGAAACTATAGGTATATTTAAATTCATCGGTGTACGGCTAATATGAAATAAGTTTCATAAAATTAATTTCACGAAATTAATTTCTCAAAACTAGTTTCTTCAGTGTACGGCCCTTAATCACACAAATCAACCGATACCGTTTAACGCATAGGCGTGCGCAGAGTTCCCAATCAGGTGCAGCACTATGGAAAACTTTTATCAAATTTTTTACCAATAAATACATTGTATATCTATCAGCACTCATAATTTTAAACGTATAATCGCATCAAGATTATTAGATAATATATTAGCCTTGTATAAATATGATATCTAATCGTATCACGAACACGCAGAAAACAAAAAAAAAAAATTGTTTCGTCAATTAACTTAAAACTGTATACGTTGGCGCATGTAAATTCCACCGGTACTTTTTTCTTTTTTACTTGAAAAAAAATTTTAATTCCACCGAGCAGTCATTCATCAATAGATATCTGCGCATGTCTGTGAAACGCGAAATCGAAAACATTTCAGACGTATTTCGCCGATTACGAATTTCAAATCGTTATCGGGGCCGACAGCAAATATCGAAATTTGCATTTTTCGCGTTATTATTGCTTTGCGCTCAATGGTAAAAAACTTTCACTTTCGTGAAAACACGCACCGCCGTCACTTCGAGTACAACACGCTTTTTCAAGTCAAATTAAATGACGATTCGCAATAGTTTTACGATACATGAGAACACTGTTTCGGCTGGAAAAACGATGCGATTTTGGTCTCGTTTTTTTTAATTTTTTTTTTAAAAAAGCGGCAAATAGTTGTAGAAGCAACAAACTGAAGTTCCTCACGATTAGTGGATAACTCTTTGCCTGTGATGAAACGAGCGTGTCGAAAGCGTATCGCCGGATCGGAAATCGGACGCGGAAAGAATTACGGTCGAAAGAATAATATTTTTTAGAAAAACCTACACGTGTTCATGACTAACTTCAACGAGACTGAACGTTTTCGAAAATCGACGCGGTTAAAATAGGAAACCGTTTTAAATTAGATTTGAAATCGTACGCGGTGCAGCGGAGGAGAACAAAATAACTTGGGCTTGTTTTGATGAACGTAACGCGCGACCGAATGAACGTTACTGTCACAGACGCAAGTTTACGATGTCGGAAAAACCAGTTCGTTTCGTGCACAACGAATGAATGGCGAAAAAAAAAATGGAAACAAAAATTATACGAAGGTACACTAGTCAACGTAGTCGTCGAGGAAAAATTAAAATGATCGTGAACAATACGTGTCGAGTTGAGCACTTGATTTGCGGCCGTTGGCCGATACAATCGATACGGCGACAACCGATCGGTGCTGGTTCAGCGGAGAGGCGCGCGCGCTCTAGCAGTATAACCGCGTAAACGGCCCGACAAATATGGTTCACGGAACCGCGCCCCGCCGCTGCCGGTATCCGTCGTCACCGGTGCACAGGCGACGGACCGCAACCGCGTACGGTCGACAGCAGCTGCTTGAGTTAACAATCCGCCGCGATTCGCTTATCGCGCCAACACCGATAACAACGCACACGTTCACACGCACCCACCCGTTCACTCGGCAGCGTAACGCTCGTAATCTTCGATCGCTGGTCTTCGCACTCCCGTCTCGTAACGTACCGTCGGTCGGCCGTCCACAGACCTCTCGGACGTCTCCCGTTGCCGTGATAAACGCCGTTGGTCAGAGGACATCGACATCGAATAGCTAAAACGCTTGAGATCGCACGGCGAGCGCAAGAAAACCCGTCCACGTCTACTACCGCCGACATGGGTAAGTTGTGCGTTCGTTCTTTCCTCGCTCCCCATCAGTCGTCCGACCGTACATGTCGTTGCCGACAAGTGCCCGTCAACACCTCATCGCATCTTAAACGTAGTTTACACGATGCTGGTTTTGCTAGCAACCAGTGAAACATACTAGTATAAAACTTTAACTAGCATATTGTACTACCAGGGAATTGCAAGTTTTTAATTCAAAATAAACAACTGGTTGTCCAGTTACGCGAAACTATTTTTACTCGCGACTGATTAAATAGGACGCTAGTTCGTCAAAATGTTTCTACTTTGTTTTCAAACTAGTTTACAAGCGCACTAAATCAGACTATACTTTTTTATTTGCAAATATTGGACTACTTAACTAGTTGCTAGTAAACTAGCATTGTATACACCACGATTTACTGTCTCCATGTATCTTTTTTACGTAACCCCTTTACATGTTTCTATCTTTCACTTTCAATAGAAACTGTAACTATTAACTTCACTCTCATTTCTCTCCTAGGCTAACATCTGTTGACCATGTTTTTATGCCTTACATTTTACACTGGTAGCGGTTGTGTCATAACGTCCTTGAGTTCCCTCCTTAAGTATTTAATTTATTTCTTAAACTAATATTAAATGTTAATTTTAGGAAATATATTTTACCAAGTATTTTCATTAGGTAATGAAAAGTTTTAATTTCACAAATTTTACAAATGTGTGAAAAATTTTAATATTATTGATCATGTCATTATTGAATATTATTTTCTCTTATGTATTTTAATTATTTTATTCATATACTTAAATTTCATTTTATATAGGTAGTAAATTTCCTTTATAAAATCAAAATTTAAAACATGTAAGATAAACATTCTAAATTTTTATTATACAGGTGGCTTTTATAGTTATTTCAAAAGTTTATTTGGTGACAAAGAACTCAGAATTTTAATCTTGGGCTTAGATGGTGCAGGAAAGACTACCATATTGTACAGGTTACAAGTTGGTGAAGTTGTGACTACTATTCCTACTATAGGATTCAATGTTGAACAGGTTGTTTATAAAAATATTAAATTCCAAGTTTGGGATCTTGGAGGCCAAACGTCCATTAGGTAATGTATAATTATTGATTTTATATTTACTCAATTTATTTTATATCAAATTGCTGTCTACAAAAATAATGGCAATTTTGTTTATTGTTACAAGTATATCTTATTTTTTTTATTTCTTATGATTTATTTACTATGATTTATTTCTTTAACTTCATCTCAAAACGTACATGGTTACATGAAAATTTTCTAGGCAAATCACTTATTGGATCAGAACTAGAATTTCATTTTTCATTTGGTTTACTTCTTTTGTGACAAATACTTTTGTATAAAATAAATATCAAATATAAAATATTGATTTTACAATTTACATGAAAACTGTTAAACATTTAAAAAATCTGATCATTTAAATTAAATCATCTGGATCCAATTTTGTTATTTAAAATAAACTTATGTATTTAAAACATTTAAGTTTTTTAAATCTCTGTGATTCATTTAAAATTAACTTAGAGAAAGCATTTAATGAATTTTATGAAAATATAACTATAACATAATATAATGTTTGAACACTTTAAATTAGACAAATTATAACATTTACTGTAAAAATTAAATTTTGGTAATTATATATTTGTAATTTTTATAATTTTAAAAGTTATTATTTGTTTGAGTATTATAGTTTTATATTTTACTTTTAAACAAAACGTTAAATTATAAAAGTTCAAATTTCAATTACATATAATATTGAAATAATAAAAAATATAAGTTAATACATGTTAGCAGTAATATTATTTTTCAATGCTTATTTTATAGGCCCTATTGGAGATGTTATTATTCAAATACAGATGCTGTTGTGTATGTTATTGATTCAGTTGACCGAGAAAGAATGGGAATAGCCAAAGATGAATTAATGTACATGCTTAAAGTAAGTTTTTATATATGTTAAGTTGTATCACATGGCAGTGAATGTTGACTTTTACCGATCATTTTGGTGAATGTTATCAATTATTTCAAATATCTCACAATGAGGGCATTTACCAGTATTAGTTGACATGTGCAATAGTTATTTAGTGAATGTTGACATGTCTGACAACATAAAATCAAATAGATATCAAATTCATAAACAAATATAATTTAAAAATTAATTTTTTAATATATAGTTTTATTTATTACAACACGGTAAACTATTAGTCATCAAAATAATTAGGAAATAAGTTCATAAATAAATATAGTTTTATAAATTAGTTTGTATATCTACCAAGCCTACATGACAACGGCAATTAAGTTCATGACATTTAATAGGTTTGATTACAATACCTTTTTTCAGAACTTTTTGTCTGGTTTAACATTAAACACATAAACTTCAAAATAACATAACAACTTCATATGTTATATTTTTTAATTTTTTCTGCAATTTTTTCATCATTGTCGTATATTTCTTCGTTCTTTACATAGTAATTAATTTCAGTTTCACCTGCTTTTAACGGGACGATTAGTTTATGATTATCCATAATATCCACATTGTCAAACCGATTTATTTGCCTGTAATCACTTTGTTGTTTATTTTTTTTTGTTTAACATTTATAACTTCACTTATATATTTATTATATTTTTCAATGCTTAAATAAAAAAAATTATCTTCATATTTTTATCCATTATTAATTTTAATTTTAGTATATTATTATAAACTGTTATTAAACTGTTAGTTTAGAATATGCGACAATACTGATTAGGATTTATACTATATTATCTAAACCAGCGTTTCTCAACTTTCTTTTATTCTCGTACACCTCGACCTCACACTATCATTTAACGAATCCCAAATGTCAACTTAGTCATATATTTTTACACATGATAAATACGAATTAACGAAATAAGTAAAACGAAAAATTTGGAAATGTCTATTTATTTTAATCGGCATGTGCCATATAATGTATCTATCTATATATATATAAAAATATATTAAATTAAATATTTAGTTTTAATGCGATCCTTGAGCTTGTATGCTAGCACTTAATTTCTTGAAATCTGGCTCCACAGTTGATAGGTAAACCCGTAAGTTTAAACTCACTGATAATCTATTACAGTACTTATTTTTAATGAACGTATATGACGAAAATGCTCTTTCCACCAATACAGTGCTCGTGAACAGTAGTAAAATATTAAATTTTTTGTAGGAAAGTTCAGAATATTCGTCATTCACGACAGCCCAAAAGGCGATGAGAGATTTTTTTCAAGAAATGCTCCCTGAAGTGAAGAATCTATTTTCAGTTTAATCAGTTTTTCTTTTTCTTGAACTGATAAAACTGCAGATTTGAAATAATTTTCACTGAAAGGGAACGCAATCCAGTGTTCTACTTTTCCACATTTAGGAAAGTACTTTTCAAATGCTGCCTTGAGCCCATTCAAATGTTGTTCAATTTGGTCTTTGATGTCTTGTGATAAGTTCATATCAATTTCACAGAGAAAATCATGTGGTGTTTCAAAAACTTCTGGTTGGTTATTCTCAATACACGACTTCCAAAATTCTAACTTATTAATAAAAGATTCTATTTTGTTAGTAACTTGGAATATAGTCACTGCACTGTTTTGAAGAGTCAAATTTAGATTGTTTAATTTCAAAAAAACATTGGATAAGTATACTAATTTTTAAAGCCATCCATGTTAATAGTTACTAGTTATTTTATATCGATTTCAATAACATACAAACCGTTCACAGTTAGGCACATAAAATTAGATAAAATCCAGTGCACATGTGCCGCCGTTTATAATGGTGTATTTAATGTTATACTCTTATTATACCAATATAATACACACTTATATCATATATTAGGAAAAAATTTCACAAATCACAATAACAAATATATCAAATAAAACAAATCTCACTTTTTCCATCATTACGCCTTTTTTTTTTACGGACCTCCTAATACCTTCTCGCGGGCCCCCGATTGAGAAACGCTGATCTAAATGATTGATTATCGGATTTTCTCATGCGATAAGATTACTAATGTCCAAACGTCTTGAATGCATATTGTAACTGGACGATAACGTCAAATCTAATCAAAAATATTATCGATCGTACAAAATAATACAAAAATACCTTTCACATACATCGTGCTTCAAGTGTAGTTAACATTACCAAACACTGATTGTAAATGTCGACAATGACCAGTGTATGAACTCGTTAAAACCATTTTGTCAACATTCACTACGATTATTGGTAAATGTGAACTTACACCGGTGACTGTCAACATTCGCCTACCGTGGTCATACACCTTAACACATACATTACATTTAAAAAAAACCAATCATATCTTTTGGTTTTTATATTCTTTTCGTAATATATCCCATAAAATTTTAGGAAGAAGAACTAAATGGTGCTATATTAACAATATTGGCTAACAAACAAGATGTTGAAGGTTGTATGAATGTTACTGAAATACACCAAGCTCTCGGATTAGACACTCTCAAGAACCGAACATTCCAAATATTTAAGACTTCAGCAAAAAAAGGTATAGGACTTGATGAGGCTATGGATTGGCTTTGTAATACGCTACAAAACCACAAATAATTTATTGCTATACCTATTATATTCTATTGTAATTAGAAAATTGTATAAATTAAAATGTTTTATTGTATAATTATGTCCCCTCTATTTTGTGAAAATGTTAAATTCAATAATATTGTGTAAGGTTGCTACCAAATATATAGCTGTGATATTCAATGTATTTAAAACTCCACAGCTGGTCTTTTTTTAATGTCAAAAAAATTAATAACTTTTATATAGTGTTCACCACGTTTTCTATCATAAATATTGTGGTAGAAAAACAAGCATTCAAAAAATACATAAAATACATTATAATATGAATATTAATATATATGTATTTTTTAAAAAAATAATGACTACTTTAAAATATTATATTTATTATAACATTAACATTAAATTTTAAATTCCACAAGAAAATGTTGAATGATTTAAACATTTTCATGTTTGCAGTATTTTTATGTCTTTAAAATAAATATATCTTTATGATTTTAAAATATTTTTGATATCTATTGTTTGTCAAACTACCAAAAGTTTTTCAGTCAATTAAATTTAAAATTAATTTTAATGAAAAATAAGTGTTATATTAAAGTACATTGTAAACTATGGATAATAAATGTAATTTCAGATGATAGTGGGCAATTGGTATAATGGTCTAAATATTATGCACATATATTGTTTAATTGTTATGGATAAATAACATCTTATTTTTTGTTTATCTATGTTAGTAGTTATTTATGTAGAATTTAATACAATTGATTTTAAGACATTACATTTGTTTGTTACTGGTAATATAGTTAAGAGGTTTATTTTTACTGGTTTTTACTATTTAATTAGTATCAGTTAATATAACTATACATTACATTTCAGTGACAATTGATCATGAGAAAACTATATAATTCATTCATAAATTCACAAGTTTTTGATAAAATTAAACAATTTCCTGGCACATAATAATTTGAATATTTTTAGTTTTAATTTTTCACTTATTAAACATTAATGGTTTCATGAATTCTATTATTCCCTCAAACCATCAATTCTACATTACAACATTAACTCATTGTAACCATTGTCGATATTATGTAAATTTACTAAGACACTAACACTCATAATTTTTACATACAATATTTTGAATTATCAAATAAATTAATGTTATATTAGCTGATTAACAAATTAAATCATGCAGTTAATTGGAAAAATAACTTAATAATCAAACAAATTGAGTTTTTCTTAAATTTAACATTTGAATTAGTATAATATACTATGTCCACTCTTGTCTATGTTGTAAAGACCAATAAAATAATTTTAATCTTATTTTTGATAATTAATAATTAATAAAAATATACCTGTACATTGATTAATATTAAAGTGTTGACTGGATAAATTATTATGTAATTAATAATTCGTTTTCAGTGTATATTTATGTGATTTTTCTTCAATATTAATTGTCTAGCATTGTGTTTTAAATAAATAATAATTCTATTTAATTTATATCCAAAAAATGTTATCAAATTTTTATTAATATTTTGAAAATACTAAAATAGTATGTACTTTTAATTTTTTTGAAAAAACTATGATTATTAATGGAAAATTCATAAATTTCATAATTATTAGATTCTCTACAGAATCTGTTACAGAATTATATACTATTAAATAAAACAATTTTTTCTTAGTATAATCAAACAAGAAATGGATGAATATTCGTAAACAAATTACTTATATTGAATCATTAAAATCTTTATTTAGCATAGGTAAACTACTACTGACAATATTATTATTCCATTATTATTATTCCTTTATTATTCCACTTTTATTTAAAATCAGTGGTTTAAGTCTTCAAATAACTTAACTAGTTTTATTAATCATTACAATTTTAATATAAAACTAATCCATTATTTTCTCTAATCATTCATGTAAGGTGTGGTAAAAAAAAATAAATTTAGAAGGGACACAAATATTTATTTCCTGTTTTCAAAAACATAATCCATAATATTACAGTATGTAATTACTATAAGGTTACAATCATGAGGTATGTGTGATTTTAACAATTAATATTATATCAGGAAAATAATTTAGTATAAATGTAATGATTGAAATCGATGGATACGACTAACCAGTTTCAAGTAAAACCAAACCAAACCGATCTCTATGAAGTATGGGTAATGAGTACTCAGCTCAAGAACCGGTTTAATGATCTATAACAAGTGGTACTACTACGATTCTTACACAGTTGTCTTTTGATTCGTTCTAGTTTCAAAAAAAAAAAATACAATTTTTTAACACAACAAGCAATGTTTGTATAATCAGTAATGTTATAATTTTCAATAGGCATTTTCTGTAAAGAATATTTAATATATATATATGTCTTATATGACAATGGAAAATAAATATAATGTTTACGTTTTATGTAGTAGGTATACTTGTAAAATACAATTATTGTGGTATACATAGAGTAGGTTTATAAATAAATTTACTTAAACACTAACAATATTACAAGTTAAAATGGTTAATATCGCGTAAGTTCTTGTGTGTCTAATAAATAAATAATACGTTATAAAATAAAATACAATATTAGATAATAATAATATACATATTATATACCATCTCAGGTTCAGAGTAAATCATTTATTTAACAGAGTGGTCCAAATGTCTAAAATCAACGGTTTATAGCTGTTTAAATAGGTATAATATAAAAAAGCATGACGTAAGTAAATCTTATTTTTTTCTATAATCGTTTGCGATACAGTAACAAAGATTATTTAGCGAACACGAGTGGTCAGATATTAGTTGTGCACGACAAGTACGGTTTAATGAGGACAATCGAATACGTAGAAAATGCACGCAATCGGTTAAATCGTAATCGTTGCCTATTCGACAGGTATCAAACTCGTTAGTTATTTTTACAATGAATTATAATCAAAGTTTTTATCGTTATTTTCAACTATTCAAGCGATTGATATCGTCGTCGGAAATACGTTTCCGGTTGATATGCACTACGATGAGAATAACTTTATTAGCGGAGTAACGGTTATTGGTTTTTGTGCATGCAGCACCAATTCGTAGATTTCGAGTAAATAGTTTATACGTGTTTTTGTTGGTTTTCAAGAATTTCGGGACGATCGCGTAAACGAACGGAACAATATGAACGTAAATAATTATTGAGTTACACATATATGTATATGAAATTATCGAAAATGAAAACGGCAACGAGTCGCAATTTTTGCACAAAACCGTTCACGGTGATGTTATTTTTTATTATCGGCGCATTAATCTTGACTTCACACCTTTAAAAAGATCACGCGTGTACATCGTACAACACGTGAGGTTAGCACTAGGTATTGGGTTCGTGACGACGAACTCGTGTGTGACCAACCGGGAAAATGTTAATCAACCGCACGAATACCAAGCGCGAACACTTTTTACTTTTCGTTTTTTTTTAATATATTTTTTCAACGCGTCAGTTCTGAAACGACGTGTTGTCGCCCTGATCCAAATTAAATTTTTTTTTTGAAGCTTACGGATTTATGTATCTCATAATAGAAAATAAAAAAAAGGGAAGACATTTACTATGAGAAATATAATGTATAATTGTTATAACTGCCGATTGACCTATATAAATATAATTATCAATATTCTAATTTGAGTTTAATTTAGCTTTTAAAAACTATTAAAATGTTTTCACCGTTCACTGGGAAGTATTTGAGTAGATTTAAGCAGCTATACTTATGAAATCAGAAATAATTGTATTTAGGTACAATTGGCGTGTTAGATTTGATGTGGAGAATAAAAACTATTCGCGTTAACTTATGATAAATTTAAATTTAAAACAAATGCGAATTTAACAAATAATACTAAATAAAATGTAGGTATAGCGATATGTTTATAAATATGTAATAAATGTAAGAAAGTTTTGTAAATATAACGCTCATTGATCCATGAAGTAAAACGGTAGATAATATATCTATTATACGACAGATTAATGCATGAAGTAATATTTATAATTTTTAATTTTTCCATTTTTTTTTTTCAAATCTTTTGTCCTATGATTCGGTGTACAATAAAATATAATAAAAAAATTATATCGTACGGTTAAATTAAAAAATATTATATTATCAATGGACTAATTCAAATTTTTTTTTTCTTTTAATTTGCCTTTGTTCGCACATAATTCAAATTAAATATTCAATACTTCAATTCAATACTCTACATGACAACTTCAACTATTCTGCTACAACTAATTTTACTCAAAAAACTGAATTAATGTCGTCTTTTAACAAATATTTTTCAACAGTTTTGAAAACGTATTTATCAATAATACATTTTTTTTCAATTACTGTGTTATATTACTAGTTAATAAATTATTTTTTATTGTATATTCGAAAGTGCCATGGGATATGATAATTTTAAAGCAAATATTATAATAAAAAAGTACTTTCAGTACAAAGTAACTATTCTAATTGAATTAACTTCAAAATATTAATAAAGATATATACTCGTAATGATAATTATATAGAATTTAATATTAGAATATAATTTATAATATTAGATAAATTACTAATATTGTTTTTTTATATACTCGTATCGTGTTTTAAAGAGTAATTTATAAATATGTATATTATTATATAATTTTGCAATGATTAATTATAGTTTTTTTTTTTTTTTTTTAATGGCTATTTATCGAAGACAAATACGAACAATTAAAAAAAAAAATATTGTAATAAGAATTAACCATATCGTAATTTATTTAATCTATTTGATCTGAGTTATTGCCTTCGATCAAAGGAGTAAGATTGGTTTCATGTTGTGTGTGTCGAAAGTTCCGCGATTTTTGATTTCTCGGTTCCCCGTTTTTCTCATTTTCATCACACTCATCCTTGTTTTCTATAAATCACAATTAAAAATGAAATCAAAATATTTAAAAAGAAAACCGTTTAGGACAAACAAAAAAATCCGTTTCAATGGCGTGGATTCCTTAAACCACGGAAATATGATCACGTCGATCAATTGCTACTGATTACCTGGGTTACCCGTCGACGACGAGCTCGTCGAGCACTCTGCTATTGTCGCTTTCTTCGATGTTGCCGGAACCATTCCCTGGACCAGATCCATTCGCGAGTCCAATGAGAACTGTTTTCCGGACATCAATATCCCTCGGATTCTTCTCCTCATGGCTTAAAAATAACAATCGAAAAAACGCGATCACATTGCTGTTGAACGGTTCATATACAATACAATATCGCACTCACAAGAGCTGTCTTTCATATCGCTTCTCAGTAATTTCCGCGACCAATCGTCCCCGTTGTCGAACAGCGCGGCGAAACTTCCGTTGACGACTTTCGGTGACATTGGCGAATTAGCTAGCAGGAGGCTGGCGCCGAAATTGTTGTTCCAGTTCCGCGTCTCTGTAAAATGTGTGCGCGCACTTGCAAACATAATTCACGGGGAATTCAGAGAGAAAGATTGTACGCGTTACTTGTGCACTTGTAACGCTTGAAAAAATAATTGCATTGAAGTGCGAAACCCATACAGCTCGAACACGCTGTAGTGATTATCAAACGAAGTAATTCTAATCAGGCGCGGACTGACAACGATAGGATTTCTGAAGCGCCGAGAATTATTACGTTCTCCTCGTTTTCGGGCTAATGCGGGACGCCGGAATAAACTACGCGTAGGAGGAAAAAAATCTATGATCGTACGTTTGTACCAAACAAATTACTTAATACATGCAAAAACTATTTGTTGGTCTTACGTTCTCAAAAATATTGTCAACTATGTAAGTATATTAAAATAAAATATCCAACTGAAAAAGAAACAATAAAGATCAAAGATTTTTTAATGTATTTTTTGAAGTATAACTATTCCTCACTTGTTTTTGTTTCAGAAAATAATAATTTCCTATGTCTGCGAGTTAAAAATTTAGTGCACTTCTTCCATACGTTAAATGTTGCAAATATATATATTATTTACAGGTAAAGGTGTTCAATACGCAGGTATTTTTTTACGGTTTGTATGAGATTATTGTTAAGATTATTCTCTCATTAGCAAAGGTGGAAATCAACTAGTTAAAAAGTTTTGAAAAGTTTTCTTAACTTTTTAATTTAACTAGATTATTTGGTTAGGTTGAAATAGTTGAAATAACTTAGCTTTTCACAGTTGATTTAAAAATGATCTGTCAAGTTAAACGATTTTGAAATTTCTTATTTATACGTAAATATTAATATAAAAATTAAATAATCATGTAAAGTAAAATTATCGCATATAGTACACTGTACATCAGAGGTCATATCAGGTTTTGTAGGTGGGGGGCCCACTTTATTAATTTATATAATGAATATGAAATATTAATTTATTAAGTTGATTTAATTTTTATAACATAGTAAAACGATATTATAAATTATATTAAATTATAATATACTGCTAAGTAGTGCTTAAATTTTCTATGAGTGCGACTGGATCTAAAATTATAGTGTACATCATACAAGTGTAGCACGAAATTGTATACATCTATACGTATAAAATAAACACTCAATGGAAAAAGAAATTTATAATTTTTACCATCATATGACAATTTGTTGACTTCGTTATAATCGACGTGAACGAGTGACGAAATACTACTAGATCCATTAATATCTTTTATTATATTTTTATGTGTCAAAATGAAACTGCGAAATTCTTTAGTAGGTAATTTTATTTGGGCTTTAGCCTTAGATTTTGACGTTTTCACATCATTATCTGAAAATCCAGAAATATCGTAGAAGGTCTTCACAGCTTAAACAAAAAGGTTTTTAAACCTACACGGTAGCAAACATAATGGAAACATTGGTCTTGTTAACACTTGAAATCACAATAGTATAGGTATAATTTACATTTAACTTTACTGAAGGAAACGTCCACGTTGATTTCACTGACATCTCATAATTTGTTGCTCTAGAATGTATTCGATTAATTTCACTAAAGTTTTCGCTGTTTTTGAATTTCACAAGTGAATTTTTGTGGATTTTCACATTCATAGCCCTCACATATATTTGTGGATAGATACATACAAAAATCGATATCGTGTACGTTACACTAACATAGTTTTTTAATGCATAATATTCAAGCTACTAATTATTTTCAAATTTAATTTGGTTTGACGTAGAGCAAAACATTATAAATGTTATTTTTTATGGTATTAGACAATTTAATTTTATATTAAAATTATTATTTTTTAAAATTTAATTTGTTAAAATTTATATTACATAAAAAAAATAAAAGTTATATATTATATTTCATTTTTACTTTTACAATATAAAAGTTTAGATATAATTTTTATATAGTAAATATTTTTTTTTTTTTTGTAGCTTAACACTGTGATTCAAAACTTCCTCTCCCAAAGAGAACGTTTATTAAACATTTAAATATTGGATACTGCAGGACCGTATTAATTAACACTAAAAACATTGTCTTGAGGCTTAGAGCCTAAAATAATGTTAATCCAAGCCCGACCAGAAGTAAAATTTTATGAATATAAAAGTTGAATGAAAAATAATTTAATAGTTGTTATAACAAATTATATCTTTAATGTTTAATAATAATTACTACAATAAAATAATAAATCTAAACGTAAACTACATATAATTCAATAGCAAGTATAAAATGCATTTAACGCGACCCTGTAATTTACTTGTTGATTTTGAAAGGAATACTGAGTATAACAATACATAATAAATAATTCGTACAAAAGTTTTTAATACTTCACTAACGATTAGTTCACGTCCGTTGTATAACTAAAAATTCGAAATTTAGATCATTCGTCGTTTTAATACAAAAACTCAACAGTTCAACAGAACTTTACAGTTTTTAGTACATCATACACAATAATGATTGAATTTGATTGCAATTATTTTCTACATTTTTTTGTCAGTTAACAAAAAAATAGTAATATAAATAAAATAATGTACACTATGACCACATTCATTTATTGGCCATTTTTTAACTAATTCATTTCTAAAGTATTAGTTTACTCTCAGTAAAATCACAAAACATTCAAATAGCGTTAAGATTTGTGATTAGAAAATGTAAGACTAATAATTGTGTTTTAGACTACAATGTTGTGTTCAAAATGTTAAAATATCAGTAATATGGTATGGATGAATAAATATGACACTGACACCAGTCAGTCTGCGCCTATTACTATTTTATTTATAGTTAAACATAAGGATTACCAGCTAATGAAACTTTTGTTTTGTTGTAGGTGCTGTCAGATTTTTCGTCGTTTATAATTTCGGTAGCCGTTGCTTTGATTTCAGCCCAATCTCTTGTAATATCCGAAATCGTTGTATATTGTGAGGTAACAGTAAAACGTATAACGTATTTGCCTGCAGAGAACACATAATACAATATTCAATCGATTTTGTGCGTGTATCAATACAGCTGTAACACGATTTCAAGCTTTTACTGTATTACGTAATAATATGTACAGCTGATACGGGTATATTATTTGTACACGTAACCAATGGGAAGTAACTAAAACAACTGTTATAAAATACCTTTGAGGGACGCAGGAACGCAATGAATCCTTCCTCTGGAGTTCAAACGTTTCAGCAGTCTTTCGGTTAAATGATTTTCCCCGCACAAACGAAAAACGACCAAACCTAGATGCCTAGCTGCAGGTATTTCAAATCTCTTATCGCTCAACACGAGAAGTTCAAATTTGTTCGCCAAATGCACACCCTATTATAGACAGATCATGATCAAGATTAGTCAATATAATTTGCATTGTTGTTATTGACGAACTGCTATCGGCACTTACGTTTCGGATGTGTTTTTGAAGACCTTTTATTCCAAAACATCGGATTACGAACCATAGTTTCAACGCTCTGAATCGCTTGCTTAACGGTATTTGCCAGTGCTTTGAACAAATTAAACGTGTAAGGTATGTTTTACAAATAATATCGATATTTAACTTACCATGTAGTCGATAGCGAGCCCTAATAAAAACAGAAATAAATTTTAATTGTGCTTATACGAAGTATAACTTGTCAACTCAAATGGTTTCGTTTGAATAAAAAAAAAAAAAAAAAAAAAATGGAACAAACGTTAAACAATTAGGTACTAACGATTGTAAATTCGTCGTCATGCAATATCGTTACAAACATACGGAGCGAACCGAGGATCGATGGGATGAAAATCGATGGGATTTTTCAAATAAGTGAAAGATACTACCCGATTGCATCACACGTAACGCGTATCGTATTACAATCGTTTACCACTCGACCGGATTACGAAACGTATGAATAACATCCGGCGGTCACTCACCTGAGTTCTCGTGCTGCAAGTACAACGGGTCGACGTTGAAAGTCCGATGTAGACATTCGCTGTTCTTCACCCTAACATCAAACTTGTGTAGTACACCGACGCTTTCCGCGCACCGTATTTTATGTACGCAAATTATATTATTTATGCAAATTACCACATGGCCGTGCAGTCGAAGTGCACCATCATCCATTTGCTCGGGTTGAACGCGATCGAGTCAGCGTACGCGACGCCCGAGAGCCAGTGCCGGAATTCCGGACATATGAACGCCGTTCCAGCGTACGCGGCGTCCACGTGAAACCAAATGTCTTCCGCGTGGCCTACGAACAACACGTTCATTAGTCCGGCACGTTTGCACGGGAAACACACACGGTTTCGTTTAAGTTGTTCTTACATATTGGTCCGAGTTCCTCGAGTTTGTCGAACGCACAAGCACCGGTCGTGCCCAACGTAGCGCATACCTGTCGAAACGCGTACGATATCAAATCGAGGGACAAATGCGGAAATTTGTGCAACACCTACTACTAATTGCATTACTTAGACGCCGCATAACATGTGTATTTTGCGCGTGCGGTGAACACTGTCGATCACCGGGTGTTTAGGGGGAACCGACTAAGTTTCCGCGTAAACGAAATTCATTAAAAATTAAATATTCACAAAATATTCGTCTTGGACAATGTTGTATCCATACTGGATGCTATATTTCAATAGTGTGTTGGTCGCATTAGATGAGGTGCTATTTGATTCGTGGTCTAAAGGAACGCGTGGTTCGGTTAAATATTTGATAGAAATATAATAAAATAGCATAGTTGTTGCGGTTATTTGAAAAGTAATCGAATGGTAATGTAATTTTTATATTACCAATGTCTAATTTTCAATCTCTGTCGAAATATTCGTTAGTTTAAATTATTCATTAAGCTGAGTATAGTTTACCTGTATATTTCCATTATATTATTATAGATCCATGATTCTATTAATTATTTAAGTCGCTATAGAGAGTATGGAGTTATTAATATTAAAATGAAAACACTAAATAGATTCAATAATATTCTATTAAAATCGAATGTGCCGTATACTCGTAAGTGGTAGTTTTTTCATACAACTTTCAGAACGGTTTTTGTTTTCAAAAATATCGTATTACGTTAAACCAATAATTTGTTCGCTATTATATAACTGTATGATTTTGTTCACCTCCCCCTTTGTAAGCTTTGTTATCATTAACTGTACCTTAGACTCGTTTAAAATCATTTGTTTTATAATAATTAATAAATAACAGTAGACGCTTATTGTTCGTCAATATTACAATGTATAGTGTGAACACTCACAAAAAATGGTATCAAATTTTGTTTTTTGTCAATGGCAATAGCTTCCTTCAGCTGAGCTCCTCTCAGTGACAAAGAGTCATCGCTTTCGATAAAACGCATTTTCACGAGACCGATGAGACCGGCCTTTTCAACCGAAGAATGGGCCTGCAAACAAAACAAACGACCATGATAATAGAATATGTTACGCCGGTAGTGTAGTATTTAATTAGCGTATATAATAGTTTGATAATATCACGAATTCGTAACAACTCTTAGATTATTCGATAAGTTTCAAAACAGCTCTTGGTTAATGATGATCGTGAACAATAATTAATCTACAAGCTAAAGACTCGTTATTAAGCAATATAATAATAAATAATATTATTTAATATTATTAATAATATAATTATATTGATAACAACGTACGGAGACCACAAACGAGTTTTCAAATCTTAAGGAATTGTGCGCCAACCGGTTACATCTTACAATCGACTTCATTAATATATCTTCAAATCACTTTGAAACGTTTTGATAATTTGTAAACCTATAATTTTGTTTTTAAAACTAAGCGAAAAGTGAAGTGCCCCTTGTCACATGAACATGTGTATGGTATTTTAATCTTTAACTTCAATATTATGTTCAGTAAGATACTGTTATTAATGTTAAGTTTATACTCGTAGTATAAATAGTATAATAGTAATGAATCCAAGTACAATATAATATATAAAATGTTTTTACACGAGTTTAGTAAAATAGAAAAACAAGTCGTGCAAGTAACTAGGACGTGGGAAAAAAATTTTTTCGGTTTCGGAAAATATAAATTCTAGGACCCCTGGAAAAAGTCTGGCCTTATCCCCGCTAATCCTCCCACTGACGCTGCCTTCACCGTGTACCTGATCCGAACAGTAAGCAACTAGTCTGCTGTTGATGTCTACGTCTTCCAGCTCTGGGTTTATCTCCTGTATGCGGCGGATGGCTTGAGTCCGAGCAGCTAATAAGCAAACGAAAGTGGCTTCGCTAGATGTCGTCTGGAACGAAAACGACCGGATAAAAGAAATTCGGACGGCACGCCCGACGACTCGTAAGCAGGGGGTGGTGCGCGAACAGTACCTGAATGACTCCGCCTCCTTTACTCTCGTTGTGCGTATGCAAAAATGCCTCGGGCAGCCCGATCATTTTGCCCAGCCAGTTCATCACTAAGATTTCCAGTTCCGTGCACGCAGGACTGCTGGCCTTCAGAGCGGAACACGTCCGTAAAACCGGGAGAAGACAAGAAAAAAAAAAAAGGAACAATTATTGACGAGATTATAAAATATCACAAGCGCAAACGCGACATAGTCGACGTCTCGGAATCGACTTTACCCATGTGAATCCTAAACAGTTGATCGCGTCCGCCAGCATATCGCCAAGTAACGACGGAAACGAGTTCAACGCGGGGAAATATGCGTGCATCTGCGGCGACTGCCAGTGCGTGATCTGAAACGAAACGGAGTCAATGTAAACGGGTCTAACTGACGTCACCGAATACGTACCCCGGGCATGATAATGTTCTCCACGTCGTCCATAATGTGATCCCAAGACTCTGGTTCGACGGGAGCGCAGTCGGGCGTTAGGTTCCGCAAGTATCCAGGGTGTACGTTCGGATAGACACGCCTTTCCCGTATAGTCTCCAAGTAATCTGCTATATAATCGATCATTATTTTTCCTGAAACACGTTACACGTTTAACAACCGGTTAGTTTAAGGTTCGGACGGAAGGAAAATAATTCTCGGCCCGTTTCAACATTGTTACGATGTGAAATAGACGTAACATAAATTATTTGCAACAGAACTGCGTGTAGAGCACGTTTATTGTTTTGGGCACAATCGAAAAAATCAAATTTGAAAAATTACGTATGATATAGTAGGCCGCCAATAGTATAACAATATGTACTAAACACCGAGGTCATAGTTAATCTAGTACCACTTACCTCTTTTTCTATATTCATCGAAATCCATTAGGGTGGATTGTGGATTAGAATTCGATTCTATCAAAGTCGATTAGTCTAAAAATAAAAACAAATAAATCGAAACTATCAACTATAAAACACGCATTGAATAAGTACAATATTTTAGTTTTTATGGCTCACATCAGTGGCGTAATTGTGGGAGGCAAGAAGGGCAAGTACCCCCTGACAATTTTTTGAGAGATAAAGGTATAATTTTGCCCCCCCCCTCCCAGATAATCCAAAAGTACAAATAGCACCTTTTATTAATAAACTCTTATGGGTATTATTTAACAATATTGGTACCCAGTACCTGCTACCTACAGCTTATGTTAATCTAAACCACAAAATGAGTTAAAAGACTTGTATACAATCAAACAATTAGATATAGTGTATAAAATACATACAATAAAAATATGTTTTAACTGGTGAGGGGGAGAGGTATCAGGGTTTTGGTAATAATAAATATATTATATTGCCCCCCCCCCCTAGATTTTTTCCTAGTTACGCCACTGGCTCACATAATCAATCTTGTTGTTGCGGATATGTGTAAGATTGTGAAAGTAATATAATTTTAATAAAAATATTTATTTCTTTTTAAGTTTTCTCTACAAGTTTTTTTAATCCCATTAATATATATATATATATATTTATATATAATCATATATATATAAATATAACCATTGCATATATGTTAATTTTTCTTATCCCTCAAAGAATCGTCAATTAATTGATTTACAAAAAAATTTTGATATTAGAACAAAAACTATTGGCCGATTTAGTAACTCTTGGTAGAATTTTAGGTTTAAAAACGGTATAGCTATAAAACAATGTTTTAAAAATATTTTTCATAAATATATACAGAAATTTAAAACGAAGCTGATAAAGACGTTAATGAATCCATATATACAATAATATTATAGTATATAATAATATAATATATAATATATAATAAGTATATAACCAACACATTTTTTCCACGTTAATATTTTTTATTTGTAATTTTAGTGATTTATAATACATAATTAAATAAATATGTTACTATTATTCTTATTTAGGAATACACTTAACTATTAAAAAAGGGCAATACAGTAAAAGCTATTAGCTATTTCAATAATATGATTTTTATTATTTTAAACCATATTACTGTGTATTTATATATACTCGTATATATTTAAGAAAAAAATAACTTGAATTAATAAGTTAATTGAAAATGTTCATATAACTTTTAATTTTACTGAATTACAAACAAAATTAGGTTAATTGTTAACTCTTAACTTTTTAAAATGTTTTTCATCAACTTAACTTAACTCTGTTAAAAATTATTATTAACTTGCCTAGGCTTGTTAATAACACTAACACTTAATTAATTACCTTAAAATCGAGAAAATTAGACAATGATGGTCTTCGTAGAGTATCCAATTTTTTTATATTTCATTCACAGACAAGTACTTTAAGACTGAAATACTTTATCACTCTATAAATCAAATAATTATATACGAAATTTAATTAATTTATGTAAATATTTGTAGTACACAACGTTGTGTACTTGTAAATATACGTAATAAGAACTTCTAACTTCCAAAATTGTTTACATTATAATATCGATCATATTCAAGCCGAGTTTTATCAGATCATTCTCGAATAAGTTCAAACGGACAATTAAAATATAGTAACCAATCATACAAAATTACAAACATTATATAAGCATATTTATTTAATGTTATATAAAAAATAATGTAAATAATTCTTCACGTCGTTTGACCGAAAAACCACAAGAAAGTAAAAAAATGAAAATTAATTTTCAACATGTGAAACAAAATACTCGTAATTGTAAATTCTTAAGGAAAATTAACTGGTGAATATTTTATATATATTTTGCTGATGATTACTCGTATGTATATACAAAAAAAACCTGTGGTGTTAAAATTAAAACTTTCATTATGTATATTATTTTGTGAATTTGTTTTTCATTAAATTGGTTATTATATCGATTTTTTAATATAAATTAAAATATTATGGTCCAACCATACACGGTAATAGGGTTCTTTTATTTTAATAATATGCGCTAGGTATCCGAAACCATCGCTTCATCGCGAAGAATACCATGACATGTAAGTAATTTGAAGGAGTGAAAATATTTATGCTTAACCACTTAACGATATTAACTCTTTTTAATTTCTCAATGACAATAACAATGTGGTACAATATTATAATCAGAAAAACTTAAGAAATACAACTGCCCATACACACACACCACACAGCTGATAATAATTTGCTTTATTATTTGTTTTCATCATGATTACCTCCTACTCACATCTTTATGTATATGTCATGACACATTTTATTAGCGCACTAGTCCCCACGCAAACATTTCCAATATTAAAATTGAACTATGCTATGAAAAACAATACCTTTTCTTGTAACACATTATTTTACATAATTCGAAATCAAATGCGATTGCGTCCCAGAAAACAAAATGTTAAATGCTGATAGTTGATGGAAGATATTAGATAATAACGAAGGTACAACAGAAACATAATCAAGCGTATAAAATACAATTTTGTCGTGAAATACCGAGGACACCGAAACAATTGAATGTCTGTATTTACGTTCAAATGTAGGTGAGTTGTATGATTTTGTGTCCCAAGTCGCAGAAGCGAAAGCTGTGTAGTTTGTTTTCTTTGTGTTCGGTGATAAATTTAACGCTGTAATTACGTATATTTTTTTTAACTATCTCCACAACGAAGCCAAAATGTGTACGGTGATAAATTCGCGCGTTTTAAGTAACAAACGATAATGTTTGATGAAAACACTTATAAGATTAGTTTAGGATAAGTAGTTGTAATTTGTTAAGTGAGCTAACTTCACCTGGTACCTGGATCGATATAAACTGATAAAGATACATAAAAAAGCAATATATTGACAAATAACACTCAATTACTCTTTATAATCATTATTTATCAGACGTCGTTTCAAGGTGTCTACTACTTCATGAAGATTTGTTAAACAATTTCAAGTAAAACGGTATCTATAATACGTTTTAGTATCGCTGAACCAATGGACGAAGTGCGGATATTGTCACGCGCACCGATACGTGCATCGAAACGAACGCTCTGCCATCACGAAGAGAATGTTCGGTTGCGTAGTCGAAGAACAATTGTCTCGATGGTAGTTGATTTCAGTCAATAAAAATTTTAGCTCGACGAAAGGAAAACAGTACATAACATCGAATAACATTCGCGGGAGGTCGGAAAAAATAAAATAAACAACGGGCCGGAAGAGTTTTTCTATGATTTGAGATCCCACGGCTAAACTGTTGCTAGAAGTATTTTAATTTACTGTTGTTTAAGGACGGATTTATTTCGACGTTTGATACGAGCAATTTTCCCTACGGAATTATGTGTGCCATCGTGGTATTAGTCGCATTAGTATATGAGCGCAATATGGTCGGCGGGTAACCATTACAACAGCTTATAGAATACAACATAATAAGGGTATGCGTTCTATACGCACGCATGCATAAACATGAAACAGAAAACACGCGCTTCAAAATAATTTTGAAAAATTATTATTATTTTCTAAGACATTTTGCCGTTGTGTGTTTTGATGAATAATAATTTTTAAAAAAAAATATCTACACATATGCAATATTTTCTTAGATCAAAATTTAAAACTCTTTTAAAACTCTAAGATCTTCTGTTTTGTTGTTTTTAATTCAAAAATATTTTGGAATTAAAATCATACCGATTTTCTATAAGCCAATTAGTTGTTTGAACTATAATTTTTAAATAATTAAAATAAAGGTTCCTAAAACGAAATTACTCTGTCTTTCAACGTAAAAAATATGTTTTACTGCTTCAATTGTATTTTTCGTTTCGTATTGAGAAACGAAAATAATTGAAAAAATATAGAATGACAGAGATAATACACTTATTATTTGATTCTTATGTATTGTACATATTCGTTAGTAATTAATTATTGTAATGAAAATGATAGCGATAAATTGATAATTCGTTGAAATAAAACGAAAGGTATTTTAATTTTTCTATCAAGTAAAAATACTCGATTAGTACTGGCTTTTCTTTATTTTGGTCATATTCGCTCACATCTGAGAGGGTAGTAGTGCTTATGGTGTTTGTATTAAAGTTCAGGTTTTATAAGCTTAATATTATTTTCAAATGATAAAATTAATACCCACAATGGATAACATATTGGGTTCAACAAGAATATTTTTTTAGCTCCTTTATTTGCTTATTTTTTTTAACGTTTTCTAAAAATTGGACAAAATATAAAATTAAGAGATTTGTTTTCTATTGTTAGCTTAATAAAATATAATATAATAATAATAAGTGATAGGACTGTTTAAAATTACGATACGTATTAAAAAAAATTTTTTTTTGATTTTGTTTTTTAACCAACGAATAATAATCAAAATATATTGCTCCATAACCCAGTACCTATTTTATGTTTTTTTAATCCAATAAAAATTTATATAATAACAATAATCTATTTATATATATTAAAGTATGTATATATAATTTTAACTACAATAATTTAATTTTGGTCACATAACATCCATTGGTAGAGTATTTCATTTTAGACAACAATAAATCGCGAACATTCTTATTCTTTTAAATTAACAATTAAAGTCATTCAGTAATATTAAGTAGTTCTTTTTTTTTTATTTTTATTTCATTTTAATTATCAAAGCCTAGTATTGTTTTTGAAAATACAATCAATATTGAGTTCTATCGCTTAGATATTAATCAAATTAAATAATGTGTGTAAAATAAGTGGAAAAGTTGTACTTAGGTCTATATACATGGCTGAATATAACCTAATCTAATTCTATTAATTCTATTATAATATATGGGTTATATATTGCATAATAAAATAATGATTTGTTTATTTCTGATAAGGTTCAGAAACATACGTATAGAAACGAATATCAATGATTAATTAGTTAATCAGATATCGAATACAATTCATATGTAATATAAAAATAAAAAATAAATGTTTCCAAAAAAAAAATCAACTTAACTAATAAAAAAATCAATTAAATGTTTTCAAACTGATTTGTTTCATATTATGTGTGTAGTTTATAAAACTTTACATAAATATAACTATACAGAATAATTTAAGTAATTTTTTCTATTCATTCCATATTGAATGTGACCAGTGAAATTTATAACATACTCGTCGTATACAAAATAATACAACTTTGAAACCATAAAAATTAATATGTAACGTGATACACAAAATCAATAATAAACACTCGTAAAAGCCGTTTAAATAAAATTACTTTTTCTAAAAATGTTATTTATTTACAAACAAATGTCTCACTATGTGCAATGGTTAATCATTTTTCGTTATTTTTATAATATATTTGCATTGTCCCCCTCAAAGAAATAACACGTGACTGCAGTGCAAAAATGAATTAATCATAAATATTATAATACTTAATAATAAATGAATAATAGTAATTTTTATATCTTCCATTTAAATTTTTTCTTTGTGTAAATAAACGATAATGAAATTGTAAAAACTAAAATATTAAAATTGTATTTATATTTTTGAATTATTCAATTATAATTATGTGATATACATGTATTAATAATATAAATAATATAAATTATATATTATTATTATATAAATAATATATAATATTATTTTATTAACTTTTTTAGTTTAACTAAATTTTAACAGATTGTAAATTATATAAATAAAAAGAAACTAAATTTTAGTACATTTTACAACACACTAAGAATATATTTTCAAAATCTTTCATCTGTAACCTAAAGTAAATTTTTAAAATCACATATTAATCACAAATTAATATATATATAATCATTGATTTATGTACTATTCAATATGGATTACATCAAAAATTGTTTAACAACTTTTTTTTTAACTTTCACTTTTATAAATTTAAAAAAAAAAATCTTGAATATTTCTTTACTATAACGTTAAATTATTACAGTTTCGATGTATTTACATATATAATTTATTTTTAAAATTTACATAATACTACAATAACGAATAAGATTAATTATTACAAAATGAAATACATTGACTCAGTTTATTAGTACTATAATATAGCGTAATAAATAACAAATGCATATTTTTGTAAACGAATTTAGAATCTTATATTAAAATTGAATTATTTAAAATTACCAAAAGTAAGTTTTTCAAATTTTTCAAAAATTCGAATGCACCTACATTTATATTAATCATTAAAACCATGATAAGATAATAAAATCTTTTGTTTCATGAAATGTGAAATTTAGCCTATTCTTATGGCCACACCAACATATTTTTATTCGCATAATTTAGGCTCTTAGATCACAAATAAAATAGTTTAAATTACCATCAAACCATGGTCATTATTATTATCATTAATTGGTACTTAATCGTGTTTGATTTCAGCTTTCAGTTTGACGATACATATTTTGTATTGTGGAAAAAAAATACTCAATGGTATGTATAACGAGAAAATAAGTACTTAAAATATAATTGTAAAATATTAATAATATTTGATATAAAAGTTGGAAATCCAAAATATGAATAAATTTAAGTTATTTATACAATAATACGTAGTTTAATGAGAAATTTCATTGTTCTGATCTCTAATTGTCAATTTCTCCGTTGACTTATTATTATTGAAGATATTATAAATATTAATTATTAAATTAATAAATAATCAAATATTGTATTGTATATTTAGATCTTTATTTACAGTTTTCTAAAATGTATAGATTATAGCATAGTCTATACCACGTAGGTATAGCATGAAACAAAATACTTAAATTTAATTTTTTTTAATAATTGTTTTCATAATATTTTTTCTAATTGATTATACTCGATATATTTTAAAAGATTAAATAGTGTACGAAATAAAACTTAAATCTCTAAAAATGTAAACATGTTGTGTTAATAATAAAAAAAAATTGGCTTTTTTCTACAGTTTAATTTTTTGTTAAACGTAGTGGATTTGTATGTTATGGAATCTGTTCACATATTCAAGTTTGACTTTTTTACATTCACGAATTGCCATACCATTCGAAAAAATAAAAACTTTGGGAGAAAATATACATTCGTAATCCCGCGAAAACTGAAAACAGAACTATTCGAAACCCAATGGAGCATCAGATCAAACCAAGTCTAACGGTTTGAATTATTTTCAACAATTAATAAGAGATTAGATAAATAAGATTATTATAATTATTATAATTATTAGATTAATAAGAGTTAGATTTGTTCGAAAAACTTTATTAGAATTAGAGCTCGCGACGAATAAAGTTCGAAGTTTTTATTTTATTACCGAACTGCGACCGTCGAACCGCCTATTATTATGCAACAAAAACAACAAAACGTGTAAGGACATCGAAACAAACACAAACCCATGGGTAACGAAAACGATTAAAGACGTATCGAGAACTACGTGATCCGGACACGTATTGCATACAACGCATTATCTTACCTGCGAGATGTTTTCGTGATATTAGACCGAGCAGACTTCTTTTGGACGCGCGAAAAAGAAGAATGTTCAAAATAACAGACCGACTCGTGACGCTCGCCCGTTGTCCGAAGTTCAGCGCATGCTTTCCGCGTCTTTGCCCCGTCGTCGGCGTACAGCCGTCGCGCTGCAATACTCGCGCCGTGGGTACATAATATTATGTCGGCGCGGTCATCACGATTTGAAATAATCACCCGCGCGCCTCCGGCCATCTCGAAACGCGTCTGTTGGGTTCTCGATTTCACACCGAGTGCCTAATCGATTTCGTTCTATTCGAAATTTCCAACGGAATATTACATTTGTTCGTTAAAAAAATGTCGAATACAAATTTTCTATTCGTACAATATGTATGTGTTCTTAACTAATTGTTCACTATTCGCTACGTTATCAACCACATCGGTGTCGAATAAATACGATTGTCTTTTGAACAAGTTTTGCTCAAGACTGCAGTGATCTATAGAAAATAAATATCGTATAAGCACTGGACACAAGGCCGGATTAAGGGGGGGGGGGGTCTAGCCGGGGTGATAGTCCCGAGGCCCTCTTGAGCACCCAAGGAGCCCAAACAATTTTAAGCCGATACACATTTTTTATCATACTAAAATTAGTAGCTTTATAGACATAAATTGTATACGAGTATATCGATTATTCTTATAATATTATAATGCAATTGACAATTTGTGAAGTAGTTAAAAAAAAAATGTATCATCCTACGAGCGTAGCGAGCATCTATGTAAAGCAAGTCTTGTCAAAAGGGCACGTATAAAATTTCAGCCCCGGGACCCAATAGGTGCTTAATCCGGCCTTGACTGGACAACGAATGTGCAACTCGAACACGTTGTCACCGTAAAAACTATCGGTTTCATGATAGTGCTATCGAAAAGCATTTTGAAAAATGAAACACTACTAATATTTGCACTTGCCCGAGTATCGACTGTCCATATTATTATCGATCGGCAATGATATAGCACTACGTGCACAATAACAATAACAATAACATAATAGTAATAGCAATAACGGTGGTAGTAATGCATTTTTACAAACTATTCGCCAACGACAAATCATTCCATGTACTGCCTAAAGGTGATTTTTCCGAAGCGCAAATGGCGTTCGCGAAAAACAAAAAATGCAAGAAATATTTAAGACTAAGCGTGGTCAATTTGCGCGTGTCGTGTAGACAATAACTTTGCGGCTGCTGCATATATTTGGTGATGGTCTGATGAGCTGCTCTGATTTTATATAAATGTGTGTAATTGTTATTTGTGGTAGAAAAACGGTAAGTTCTTCTTTTTTCTTTTTTTTAATTTCTGTCCTTAAAAATTATTGAAAAACAATGTAAAATTAAAATCTAGAAATTTAGAATATAGCTACTACGTTCTAAGTTTCTACATTTTTTCATAATTAAAAAAAAAAAAAATCACACGACTACAATTATATTATTTCGTCGATTAGAAGAACTTTTTTCGACATTTTAATACGAAACTTATATTTTATATAATTCTATGAAAATCTATATCATACATTATTGGATCAAACATTTTACCTTATCAGAAACTACACAGCGCAAAACATTTTTAACCATAGTGATTTTAATCGAAGTATAAATTTATTTTGTCTCAAAAAATAATAGTATTGTATACTTTTGTATTATATACTATTTGCTTTCAGATTACCGATATTTGTTAGAAATGCCGAAAAAACCTCGTTTTATATTAAAACAACTTATTATTTTATTACCAAAGTACGTCATAAGAATTGGAATTCCCGATTTGAAAATGCTATCAAAGGGACTACAAGAATTTATTAATATTACAACTATTAACGACGATTCAGAGAAACAAATTGTTTCAGACTAAGCTAATAATCGCAATAATAACATAGATAGGCCTATACAATAATATAAACACGTCATTTGATATTGATTTAATGAAATCACTTTATAACATTTGTTGTCATTTATTTTTACTTGATCTAACAATAAATATACTATGGACGTATAATCATAATTTTATAATACAAACTATTTCTATCGTTTATCAAGCCATAAGCTCTGAATAAAAAGTTAAAACTATACTTAAATGCAATAAAACACTATAATGAAAACTGTTACGCATTTATTAGTTTATAAAACGTTATAAAATTCACTCAGCTGCTCAGAATATTATGTAGTTTCGTCGTGCGTAGATGGTATATTTTTCAATCATTGTCTTGTCCTAGACTGTTGCGTGCGACAAACAAAATACAATAAAATAAGCATCTAAACTGCATTTTAGAATTGAAAGCGATAAAATATCGAACAAGATCAAATGCCTAACAATACCCAATAAAACCAAACGATAATCAAAAAGTAATTAAAGGTAGGGGATTTGTCGGTTCTAAAAAACAATAATACGCATTCATAATGGAGATACGAGTAAGTATGCTCCCTATTTATTATTGAATTAAGTATATAGATTATAGCTAGTAGTAATAGTAGTAATAATTGTATTGGTAGGTAATTTTAGTTATTTTTTGTTTTTACATTTGTTGTCATTGCTGTATTTCGCATGTCAAGGGCGTATTTGAGGGGGTCGAAGGGGGTATTCGCCCTCCCATGGCTCGTATTTTTTTTGAATAAAATACATTGATTTATTTAAAAAATGTTATGTATAAATAATTGAGAATATAAATTACTAGTCTATCACTATAATATGTTATCATTATAACAGAAACTGAGCTGTAGGTAATGAACTGAAAATTATTTTTAAGTTTATATTAAAGAAAAATTAGTTTCCCCCCTCCCCCATGGCCTCAACTCAAATACCTCCTTAAGGACAATCGTTTTTTAATCAAACTTAATAAATAAAAGAACAACTATACTCGTATTTCAACAACTTTGTGGCATGTGTTTATTTATCATGACCAAATGTAACGATGTGTTTCTTATAGTAATGAACGAAATGGGAGGATAAGAATTCAAAAATATTAACTTCTTTTATTTTCCCTAAATGCAATACATTTATTAGGACCACTCTAATATCTATAGAAATCTAATAAAAATCTGTAGAATTAATTTAAATCTAATGATGAAAGTATTACAGAAAAAAATCACTATAATATGAATGACGACCATGTTTTGGTAATCATTAAAACTTGGTGTACGCTCTTAACTAATTACCAACAAGGTACAATATACAGATACCACGAATCTCGAATATTTCTAGAGTATATTATATACTAGTGTTTAATATATTGTTTGGATATTTTTTTAAACTCATAAAATAAGCATTAACTGTGTTTTATTTGCTGGCACTTATTATTACTATTTCTGAATAACGGAGCTATATAAAATTAGTAAAAGTGTGAATTAAGTTTTGATGACAGTGCTTTTATACTTTTATACTTTTATACACTTACCTAGTGTTTTGATTTTTGATTATTGAACGTTAACCACGCAACAATCATAATAATTGGACCTAAATAAAAATAATCAGAGTATCATCTCGATGTATACATATTATATTTATCGACGGTCGTAAGATATACGAGTATGACAAATAATTTTAATACATACTGTATAGTAATAATACAATATTGTACGCGTTTTTATAACTCCTATTTATAACGAACCAAATAATTCAAAATATAACATTTCTTTTGTGATAAAATGTGGACAAGGATTATTGAAATAAATGACAGTGAAACATTTGACATTTATCTACGAAATAATAATAGTTTATATAAACCTTTCATTTGGAGTGGGGAGGGTCCTATATAATCTCTTGTTGTGCGCACACACTCGCATACGTATACGAATGAAAGTTATAAAAATAATAATCTTAATAATTTTTAGCTAGAAATAAATGTTTTGAATGGTTTGATGCCGATAATAAATTATGAATGAACAGTATTGGTTATTGTGTAAATTTGCATTCGTAGTAATCAAGCATTTTTGAAAATTATCTTAACATTATATTTCGAGTGATCAACTGTATTTAAAACACTAAATTTTTCTGAATTTTACATTATGACAATTTATACTCTAAAACCTCCCGAAATATTTATTTGTGCACTCGCTTGCCATAATTTGTTGGTTACAACTGTTTGGTGAAAAACACAATATAGTTTTAGTTATTGACTTATAGTTAAATTGACTATATAAATATATACACTATATATATTTCTAATAGCTAAATTAACCCTGTCAGTAATTTTTTTTATAATATCGTGGTATATTAGACTCAATGAATATGGTTTCCTCGAATCTTGTATATTTTTTTAATAGCTTATATTATTTATGATTTGTACTTTTCTAGTCAATTATAGCTATGTTATATTATCATAATAAGTTTTTGCAAGAAAATTAAAATTTTTGCTATTACTAAACATCATTTATTTTTTAACAAAGCAGGCATGTAATACCATGGGTACAATGATACAAAAAGTTCCGCAGTCTGCAAAGTATAGGCCTCAAACTTCTCTAAATTAATGTCATAACCACTTGCCATTTGTTTTTAAAACCATCCTAAATCGTTGTATAAGTTATAACTCTAAATTTGTTATATCAGCACTTATTTCCACGTTTTTGAAGAACTACGAGAAATATTACCGTCATTAGTCGTTTCTTTGCCTAACAAAATTTAATATTAAAAATTATAATTTAAAATTGAATGTACTTATAATAAATAGCACCTTGTAAAACTACATCTACAAGAAGACCAGTTTCTATTCTAAATCGATCTTGTATATATTTTTTTTCTTTTTGCATAAATAATTATATCTTTTTTATTTAAACACAAAAACTACAAAGTGACTAAACATTTATTTTGGTGATTTTTTTTTTTTTTTAAAAATAAATAAATAATTTGTTATTATTGAAAATAAATACAATTACATTTTATGCCACTTAAAGTCTACACAAGTTAAAATGTAATTAGGGAAAAATATAATAGGTAAGATTGGATAAAATTTAATTATAAGTATACAGGCCCGTATTTAAAAATTAGGCGCTCCCAGGCATATAATTTATGCCTCCCCCCAAATAAATAATAATAATATAATACTTATTATTTCGTCTATAATATAGATTCTTTAATATTAAAATATAACTTATAAATGAAAATCGTTTAATATTTTTTTTAATTAACAAATTATATTCGTAATATAATAAAAATACAATTTTTTTCTTTAATTTACAAATTATAACATAATAAAACATACTATTTTATTTTTTTTGTTTAGTTTTTTTTTTTTTTCATTAGAGAGACTGAGACTTTATGCCCCCGGACATATGCCTAACCCACCACGTATAACTAAACTACCACGTATAATTTAGGAATTAAATTTAACAAAATTTTAAATTATTTGAAGGGTGTAGAGTCGCAGAATTGTCCAAGGATTCCTAACTACCCTGCTTTGCCCTAAGTAGCTACACCAATAGGTGTGTGGCTGTGTCTGTACCACACCAAAATATTAGTGTCAAATAACTATTTAAATGGTTATTTTAACCACATTTTTTCAGTGTATCTGATTCACATCCATTCTCGACTTCGTTGGAATATTTGATTTCCTCATTTAGACTATGCCGATAAATCGTGTCGATTATTTTTATCATTTTAAAATCAGGGTATTTTACACAAATCATTTTAATTGAAAATATATATTTTAAAAACCTTTTCAATTTTATTCCATTAAGCATGCTCGTAAATGAATTGTTAAAATAAAAATTTAATTATATATCCTAGACATATAGACTAAATACGAGTAATTTATGAATTTGTAATACATTAATTAATAAACTTATTAGTATTTAGTAAAAAAGTAACAAATAACGATTCAATATTCGTTTTTGTTGACGTATCATTATAGGCGTGCGCAGTCCTGCATTTCAGTGGGTGCCTGCAATAATTTCGGGCCCTATCTTAAAAAAATGCGTAGGTACATTTTATAAACGTAACTTTTATTTTCTTTTTGATATTGTGTGCTATATTAGTCCCAATCAATATGTTTTCCTTGAATCTTGTGTATTCTTCTCAGATAGCTTCAATTATTTATGATTTGTACCTTTGCAATCAACTGTAGCTGATGTGTCATCAAAAGAAGTTTTCTCACGAAAATGTAGAACATTTAATTTTAGTCTGTCCATTACGAAACACCATTTATCTTTTACCAGATATTTTAGAGTAGATTACATTTCATTTGAGCAACATCAGTTATAATACAGGCCCTTTACTCTTATACTTAAATCGTAGGGTCCTATTTACAACATTCCTTGGGGGGGGCCTGACACACCCGGAACCCCCCGTGTGCACTCCTATGCGTATCATAATATTATAATACAAAACAATACAAAGAGTTATTAAAAAATTGGAGATCTTTTCAGTTGAAATATCAACTATTTTCAGTCCAATAGTACTGTCTAAATTACGCCAAATTACTCAAATGTATATAAGTATAGATACTGATTATTTACCTACGTAATTTGTTTCGTCTACTATGATATGTGTATTTTTATTTTTAAAAATTAATATTTCATAAACATTCTAGTATGACTGTGAGTACGAGTACAAATCTAATATTTACTTTTGCTAAAAGTTACGACATTCTAATTAAGCTAACATATTATACACATGCGATTTATACAATTTATTTTGTATAATTTTATATTATGTAAACATTCGATAATAACTTCAAACACACGAATCATACAGCATGATTAAATCCATTTAATAATATACACACATATTTATACAGTAACAAATTATCACAATATTACAATATTGAACGTTAAAATAATTGTAAAATTGTAAAATTGTATTGTACTACTTATAAAATATCTAAATTACAGTATATGAAATGTTAGATTAAATAAATTTCAACCCGTCTTGAACAAATGGTAAATAAGTATCTCCTGTTGGTCTAATTATTACTTCGGCAACCTGTAAACATATATTTTCAATGAATCTACTTTATTTGTTTTCTTCACTTTCCATTAGTTTTGATAATTGGTGTAAATTGTGATGTTAAAAACTTACATTCACAGATTGCGGAGCGGCCAAAACGTATATAATCGCGTCAACTACATCCGAAGGTTTCAGTATGGGAGCATTTTCGGCTAAATCTTTAGCCATGGCAGTGTCTACTAATCCTGGACTGATACTCTGTATGGAAACGATAAAATATTTGAAATTATCAAACTTTGAAATCAAATGCAAAAATTAAAATATCGTAATATAAAAATTTTTTGTAACGGTATTCATTATTCGAACAGTTCAATTGTAATTGAATATATATTTAGGTGAATAAATGTGAATGATCTTTGTTTATAAAGGTACGTGCAAATATTATTCAACATTAAATACATACAATTTATAAGATAATTTTTACTTATTATATATTATTAAATATTATAAGAACAAGTTTAATTACTGTGACTCTGATTGGTAACTTTTTTAAGGCCAAAAGTTCTCTTAGGCTTTCGGTAATTGAAACGCTACTAAACTTGGTAGCTCCATACACATACAGATTTGGAGTTAATGTCGGTGGATAATGACCACTGTCGCTAAATAGTTAAAATAAATACAAATTAATTATACTCCTGCACACTCGTTCACAAATGCAATTCCAATTTCTAAGCATGTATTTATACAAATTATACAGATAATAACAGCTTACTAAAACATGTCCTATGTAAAAATTAATACTTGCCTGCTTTTATATAGTGTGCATATATCTAAGGCGCAGTAATGTACACTTCAGATTTGCTATAATTCAAATTTTTTAAATCGTATTTAACTTACGAGCTTTCAGCTCCACACTTATAATGGTAAAGGCTGATAAATATACCTAGTAAATATCATGTTTATAAATACTAAATCTGTATTCTTTATAGTAATAAATTAATTAACAGATTTAAAACGTATGATTAATATTTGAAATAGATTTTTAAAAAAAAACAAGTTATTTAACCTTATGTTTAAAATTAATCTACACGGTTTTTTTCAACAATTAGTATAATTCATATTTTTATTATTAGTCCAATATATCGTTTAATTCAATCTTTTATTTAAAAAAAAATAATGAATTATTATAGTATATTTATTATTATAATACAAAAATAATAATTTTTACATGTTTATTGAAATGGACTATACAATTTTCTTTTAATACGGTAAAGTATCACTATAGTGTTCACGTCCGACTGGTACCAGTTCGAGAGACACTGATTATGACACAAACAATATCTAATAATAATAATAATGTAGATAATAAATTAAAATTTACAATAGATATAATTCGGTGTGTTAAATCAGATTTTTCATATTTTGTCGTGATAAAAGGTGGAAAAATAAAAACAACTCGATATTTAACAAATCCGGAGTGTACACATTACACAGATTAAGTCGGTCGGTTATTTGAAGTAATCAACCATCGGACTTAAGTACATAAATAAATAATATACACGTACAGAGTCGAAATAAATATTACCTATTGATATTTATTATATGCCCAATGGTTTTCAATTCCTGCATGATTTTCACCGCTTCTCTGCTGCAAATACTCGGTCCCAATACGTTGGTGTCAAACATCACTTTCCACTCGTCCGAGTTTCCTGATTGAAAAAAAAAACCAATAACATTAAAATGCTGGGCCATATTATCAGGTCATATCTTTAGACAGGATTGGCAACTGCCTCTGGCCTTCGTCACAAGAAAGCCTCGGAATGTTATTACAACTTTCATACGAACATTTTATTTTCATTTCTATTATTAAAGGTATAAAAAATTGTTCATGGTCCTTTAGTTTAATATTTGAACACAAAACGAGTCACGTAAAACGTTCGTATTCGTTGATATTTCGTGTTTTAAAAATGAATTATTGGCATTTCATGTATAATACCGATTGTCGTTCGCACCGGTTTGGTTCGAAAAAAAATCGTGCGCGCTCGTGGTCAGCAAGTCCAGCAACTCGGTACGCTTTCAAAGGGGTTTATGGCATCGCACACACATACTTACCCAGTAGTTCGCCGGTCAAGCAAACGCCGGCGTTGTTCACCAACACGTCGACCGACTTCAGCGTCGTCTTCGCCCACGCGAAACCTTCTAGGATACTTTCTTCCGAACACACGTCGACTTTGACGGGGTAAAATTTGCCCGGCAGTCCGTGCAACTCGTTCCGCAACGCCTGCATGAAAAACGCACCGTGAACATAAAATCGTTTCGTCCCGGTCGGCAATCCGCAACTTAACGCGTCGCGGTGCGTCGTCAATATCTCCGTCTAGGTACAAATTTTTGCGCGCGAAAAACCTTTGGAAAATGCATCTGAAAACACTCTATAATGTGCCGCTAAGCGTAGTGAGCCCAAAGTAGAGATGATCGATCGATAGATTATTTCAACGCATCGGTAAAGTTATATAATTAATATGGTGTACGTGCGATAGGATATACATTCCTAAAAAATAAGGAGGTCGAAGAATAGAAAAAATATATATATTATATTTTTTTCCCCGTTTTATTGTGAATTACATAATGAGCGTATTATTAATAACATCACACCACCTTATGCCATTATAGAACTTGTATAAATACGAATATAGCATCTAGTATTCATTAGAAGACAGTGACAGTGCAAAATTCACCGTTTGCAAAGGTGCGATCCCACGGCGCATGACGCGTTATTCGACTATATACCGCACCACCACGAACACACTCGCACTCGCACACCCTGAATTTTTTTCATCTTTAATTATTGGCCTAGGCGTGACTGATACATGGCCTTGCCACTTTGGCCTTCAGTTTTCCCATCTTTAAAATGTTGTGCATACACCGCGGCTGATCAGTAATCACTGCTAATCATAAATGTTGGCCTGGTGATGGGAAAAAATTGGCCTCTTTAATTGCTTGCACACCATAAAAAAAAACTGAAATGGCGCCCCTGGTTTACACACGTTGTGGACATCGCCGCGAACACTCAGTCATTATCACCACTAGTAACTTTTATATAGTAGTTGGCTATTAGTTTTGTTTGAATTATTATTTGAATTGTTAATGAATTATTGTAACATATATTTATTTCAAATACAAGTGTTCTGTTTATTAACTACCTATCTTTTTCAATTTTAATTCTGAGAGTTAAACGTGCTACGTTCTTTTAATAATCATTTGTGAGTACGTAGTGTTCTGTACAATGATCACTACATAAGTATGCACATAAAATTCAATATGATTTCAAACAATTAATTTCTTTGGATATTGTTACATCAAAAAAAATGGTGCATTAAAATGTAATAATTTATAGCTCTCGTTGCTATTGTACAACAACACTCTCAAATGTTATCAATCTTAATCGGGGCGCAAAAAATTAAACCACATTTGTTAAAGTGAAAATAGAAATATTTGTGGATTTACTTAATTTTTTCAATGTATTGGAATCAAAATATGCACTGTTAAATAAAGATTGTGCAAACAAACTTTAAAAGTTAAAACTATGAAAAATATGTTATTATTTCAATAAAAAATATTAATATTTAAATAAAATCGATTTAAATCGCACCTACACGTACCTAATCAGATTTTATACATCTTATTTGAATAAATGTATACCTTTCACTTATATATACCTCAAGTTTGTCTATTCTTCTGGCGAACCCGACGACCGTCATTCCCCGAGAGGTCAACTGTCTACACGTCTCAGCTCCGATCCCGGACGATGCTCCCGTGACCACGGCGACTTTTCCATACCACTTATTCATTTTGTCCGTTCGTCGCGATCGCGTTTCGGCGGATGGGAGCCGTCAATTATTTTCACGAACAATTGATGATTTACTGTTCGGATGCCAAAGTAACCATATATTATATTCGCATGGCTACATAGGAACCGCACGAACCTTGTTCAAGTGCTACGTGCGTTGATTATTGTTGCAGGCATGTTTACTCGCACGGCGACCCAGTGACGCAGATAAGATTATAACTAACGCGGTCGGGTTCAAAGTTTTAGTACATGGTTTTTATTCATATACCACTCGACGAGTACAACCGTGAAATATTGTGCCACACGACTCTTTGGAGATATTCGGTGAGGTGTGAATTCGAACTTTTTTTAAGTACAGCTACTTCAGAAATTCAAGCCTGTTAACAAATATTATTTATTTGGATTGATAGATTAGGACTTGATACACCGGTAATTTAGACGTACAAATACGTTTTACGCACTACAATACCATTCGGTGTTTTTAAGTGGAGAACTTAATCTGTGATTTAAAGATATGATTAGGACATGGAATTCGATGCACTTTATATTTTTTTTCAAAGCTTGCTGTGCGATTCTTGTACTGATACAAATTTTTTTCATTTTTTAATAATTTTTGATTTTTAAGTAATTTTCTTCATTTTTTAGACAATTTTAGTGTTTTTTTTTTTTTTTGGCATTTTTTTAAATTTTAATTAAGATGCCAACATGATTTTTATATAAATGTAACAAATTATACAATAGGTACTCGTGAATCACATTATACAAGTAACGTATAATATTATCGTATTATCGTATTAACGGACAATAATTGACGTCAAAACCTAGATAACAAGTAACGTTTATAATAGTTTACGTAATATATTTAAAATCAGTAAAATTGATATCGTTTAGTACGAATTTTGCTACTGTAACTATTGGATGAATTAATTCTTTAGTTTAATTTTTAATTTATTTTAGTTCATTTTCTGAGGAATTTTTCGAGTTTCTCAAGTCATTTTTACATTTTTTACGGAATATTTTAAGTTTTCAAACCATTTTTTAATTTTTTTAAGAGCGCATTTTAAGGTTTTTTAAAGCATTAAAATCCCAGCCCTACGCATAATATTTAATACATTAATATTGTGCAATATTTCAAGTAAATATAATAATCAGGGCTTGTAAGTTCATGCATTTGCATATCAATCTTGACAAATTTTATTTAATGCTAGATTAACATAGAAATTCGTTTCAAGATACCACAGTTATATATGTGAAATCTTTTTCTGCATGTTTTTGCATATTTCTATTTTATAGGGCATTTTATTAGAATTTACCAAAAATCTAAATGAAAAATATATATAAAATTAAAAATATAAATTTTCTTTTCTTTTCTTATTTTCATGACACTCGTACATTGAATGAATAAATTTATTTCAAAAGTTTTAGGTTTAAAATTAATTACTGATAAAGACGTACTGATAAATACGCAGTTCATGAAAGTTCAAGAATAGTAATAATATTATTTAAAATCTATTTTTTTTTAATTACCACATATATTATACAAATTTAAATATTAAATAATAGTAATACAAATTATGTATGTATATACAATTATGAGTATTAGAACGTTAGAAAACTCGTATTTCCCTACCCACGTATAGAAAAAAATTATACAAAAATATATTATATAATACAAAAGAAAAATAAATAATTTTTCGTTATAAATTAAGTGGTTTTTCATGGTTAAGTAATAACTCAAATCGAAAAATAACTGTGCAGTATTCATTTGAGTTTTGTTTGGAAAAACAACCGCGATGGTATAACGTCATTAACACTACCATTTATGAACATGTTTTTCTTTGTAAAATGTAAACTTTTTGTACACAATTAAGCCATGGCCTCATTCACTTTTAATACTTTTTAAATCGTTAATTTACACAGCTACGTAAAACTGTATACTAGTTGTAGTCTACATAAGTCTGTATAGTACGTGACAGGGTCGTGCCTAGGGGGGTGCAAGAGGTGCGTGTGCACTGGGTGCCATTAACACTGGGACACCAAAAGCTTTTACATAATAGTAAAATTACTGAAAGTTAACCACATTATTTAATTCAAAATATTTAACACGTTTAACGCTATGGTCTCGTGCGTAGTCGACATTGTCTTGATCGGCGGTGTTGCTAATTTATTTTTAGTATTGGTATTTATTTTTACCCCGAAATCGACGAGATGACAAATTTTCAATAATATACCATTTATAAAATTATTAAAATAATAAAAGATTGTATACAGAAATCAGTCTCGTGAATGAAGAAAATAATTAGAATGAGAACATATTTTAAAATTTAGAATGCTGAAAGTATTGAATGGGTTATTAAGAAACTAATTAGGATATTGCATTTGGTAGGTAAGGAGAGCTTCATTTCACTAGCATGTACTTTTGAAATTTTTTTATCTTTGCAATATATTTTATTTTGCGAATAATTTGCGTGATTTTTGCGGACAATTAGTTTTTTAGTAAATTCAAAAAAACGGTTGATATGCTGCTGAAATTTTGCAAAAATTTAAAAAAATCACTATTTTTGCAATTCAAAATAAAATAATTTATAAAACTAATTAAGTACCTGCTTTATTTTTATTTTTTTAACATATTATTATCATTTATCATGACATCTAACCTGCATAATATTTTTTTCAGTTTGTTTAAATATTAACATTAAAAATCGTTATTAAAAATGTATTTTCTTCACTTACGTTACAAAACTTATCTTCTCCAATTTCTCCGGATAACTCTTTCTATTTTCGTAACCTGATTTTTGGAAATTCTGTCTAAATGCCTAATGTTTCAGCTTTATTCTTTGAATCGGATAAAGTCTCATGTATACATTGCTCTTGAAAGTTTATTAAAATTTTAAGGAGACTTCGCAAATTTTTTGACAGCTACATTAAATTGTTAATTTTGATTTTTGTAAAATTATATTGATCCTATCGATTGCATTGAGAATTTTTCCCAAACAGTAAGTATTCAAATTAAATAAAAACGTTAACGTGATCTTATCAAATTATCTGCATCAACATTTGTTTTTCTCGATAATGGTTCTTGTTTTAGAACGTCAAAGTTTTTAAAAACCATATCAAGTCAATTACTTATATAATTTATTTTATTTTGAATGGCAAAAAATCTAATTGTCCGCAAAAATCAGAAATACGTCCGCAAAATAACATATATTGCAAAAATAAAAAAATCGCAAAAGTACATGCTAGCGAAATGAAGCTGGTAAGGAGCCCTTCCTTCAAAGTCAAAGAGAATATATGATAGAATATAGATTTTTTTTTTCTAAATGGAGTGTGCAGAGAAGAGAACAGTTGCGCAACTTGACGATAAGGAGCCCATGTGAAAATGTCCAGACTTATATTATTATTTATTATTATTGTATTAAAACAGATAACATAATATGTGTATATTACAGATTATTTTCAAATGAATTATTTATTTAAATAATACCTCACTATTAATACTTTCATTATCAAAATGGGAAAAATTAATGTTAATCCATAATCATTACGTTGATGTTGCATATTATAATATTAAATATGTCAATTAAGTATATTATCCTTCAAATTTAATTTTACTTTCACAATTATTTGAAAACAAAAACTCGTCGAAAATAATTGGTCACCACACCGCATAACCAACCCAATAGTGATTACACTTAAAAAGTAATTCGCAAATATAGTGTTCGATTTTTTTTTTTTTTTCTTAGCAAATTGTTTTAATCATCTTTACTTGTACTGATGTATTTTATATTTTATCTTATATATTAACACCATAATCAGCATAAACGTAGGCTATTTATAAAGACGAAACGTGTCGGTTCATAAAATCCCGTGATATTTCAATCCATTTCACCCGTTAAATGGTAGTGATTTTTCAACGCGTCGTTCGCTAATAAATTATAAATTTACCGACACGCAATTACTATCAGGATTATTTTTAAAAGCATTCTGATACATATTTGAATTGAATAACTTCGCAGACAATATTTTGCATTGAAAATTTGATTAATAATATCATTAAACAATAGTTATATTAAAATAAAAATATTTTGTCATAGTCTATAACACTCATAAATATTGTGAATAATATATATTTTCAATTAAAATAATATAATAAATTACTTCATTTAAATATTTTAAGATTTATCGTACCAAAATATACCCTTATTTTTTGGATCATTTTCCTAGTAAACTCAAGTTATAATATCCGTATAAATTATGTGTCTTAATGAAGACGTATATTTTTTTGCCTCTTTTACTATTTTCGCTAACTTTCTATACCTACCATACCATATATATGTACAATCTATTAATACATGGTATTTAAATTATCTAGTTTAATAGTACACTTTATATTTATTTTGAAAAAAAATCGAATCGTGATTCATACATAATTCCATTTTCGTATTTTAATATTTACAATTCTATTAATGGTTATTATTATGCAATTTCTTGTATACACAGAAGCAGTTTTTAGAAAACGAAAAGCAACATAATTTAATAGGTTTGAAAATATGTGTCGCATGTATGTAGATATATAAGACATTATTGTTAGGCATCTGCATTTTAATATACAGTGAGTTTCACAGAGACGTATATCCCAATAAGCAGAGCTACCTAGGGTGACACATTTTACAGTCTTTTTTAAAATATTTCATTCGTATCAAAAAATAAAACTAAAAAAAAATTATTTTTTAATTTATATATTTAAAAAAGAATAATTATAACTTTTTTCCATTTTTAAAACATTTTACATAGAATATATCTATTTTGTATTAATTGCTATTTATATTCATTATACAGAAAAATAATCCATAAGTCGTTTGTATATATCAGAATTGGATAAAATACTTTTTAAAAGTATTTAGAATAAATACTCGAATACTTACGAAAAATAGTATTCCGAATACCTACATTATTTAGAATACTTCAAAAGTATTCCGAATACTTTTAAAATACTTTAAGTTTTCATACTATAAAGATAATAGATGTCCACTCAACAGAAATATTTGAAATTGTCGACTAAATATATGTTATTTTATTGTATTTTTATATTACATAATTGTTATAGTTTATGGTTTACAATAATAATAAAGACCTAATATTAGCATATACAAGATACGACGGAGAAGTAATAAAATCATTTAAAAAAGAAAT